CTCCTCCTCTCAGGAGGGGGGCCCCCTAAACGTATCCAATAGTATAGCCGGGCCCCCCCCCTCTCTGCTGACGGGTACTACTGCTGCATCTTCTTCTTCTGCTGCTGCTGCTGCTGCTGCTTCCCCTGCTGCTGCTGCTGCAGCAGTTTCTTCTTTTCCTTCTGTGTGTATGGATAAGCGGCCGTATGTAAACTATTTACCCCCTAGCGAGAGACAAAAGAAAGTATGTGTGAGTGTGGCTGTTCCTCTGCGCCTATCGAGTATAATATATTCAGGTGTATGGGGACCTTCTGCGTGGTGTAAGCGGCGAGGTTTGCGTATATTATGTTTAGATGGGGGGGGAACGCGGGGTGTATTGACAGTTGCGTTGCTGAAGGAGATAGCAGCAGCAGCCGGAATAGCCGATATAAGTAAAGAATTTGATATTATATGTGGAACATCAACTGGGGGTATAATATCTATATTGTTGGGGCTAGAGAAAGCTACAGTGTATGAGCTCGAAACTTTATATGACGCCCTAATAAAATATATATTTATAAAGGATAGTAAACCTATTGCTAATATCAGACTCTTTATAAAAAAAGGATATTATGATGAATCTCTATGGGAACACATTCTATACTCTGCTTTCGGAGATACAAAAATGATCGACTTTGCTGCCGATGTACATACACCCAAAGTTTTCTGCGTTTCAGCTAATATCTCTACACACCCCCCTCAGTTAGTTCTTTGGCGCAACTACAACTACCCCGTGCACCCACAACACCAACAAAACCATCAACGAGGAGAAACACCACAACAAACAGATGTAGGATATCAGGGGGGCCCCCTGGGGGGGGGCCCCTTGGGGGGGGGGCCCTTGGGGGCCCCCATCACGGGTGAAGAAACGGGAAGGGGAGGAGGTATAGGGGCTTCTGTATGGAGATCGATGCAGCATATGTTGCATGCATTTCGTGCTGGTGCAGCAGGAGCAGCAGCAGGAGGATCAGCAGCAGCAGCAGCAGCAACAACAGCAGCAACAACAGCAACAGAAGGAGAAGGAAGAGGAGGAAGCGGCGGTCGGTATGATGGGTCTTGTTGTATACGTGTGCGTGATGCGTTGAGAGCGACAACAGCAGCACCTGGTTTGTTTAGTGGGAAAGAAATAAACGGAAATATACTTATTGATGGGGCGTTGCTAGCCAACAACCCAGCAGCAGTTGCTGTTGCTGAGGCACGGGCTGTATATCCAGGTGTACCGATAGAGGTATTAGTGAGTATAGGTACAGGTGTATGTACACTCGAAAAACATAAAAATATAAATAATAATTATAATTATAATAATTATAATAATAATAATATTCATTCTATACATAATAAAGTAGGATGGGAGGATGTATTCAATCAACTTGTATATGCAGCCACAAACACAGAAGATATACACCATATACTAGCTGAGTTGCTGCCCCCATCTATATATTTTCGTTTCAATCCAAATATAGAAAATATATCAATTGACGAAACAAACCAAGCAAAATTAAATACACTCAAGCATGCAGCTCAGGTGTATGTACAGCTCCCACAAAACAAACAAAAAATACAGAGATTAGCTAGGATACTTAACCCACCCCAGAAAAAATATAAATATACAAATATCATACAAACCATACAAACACAAACTGCTGC